GCAGTGCTGGTGGTGTTCCTGCGGCTTGTGCGGCTGCTGCTGCTGCTCCCAAATCAGCTGAAAGCAGCCGGGGAGTGAGTCGGCCTCATAAATCAGGGAAGTAAGCCATACTGCTCCTTAAAAACCACACTCTTAGATGTAGACCTCAGCTGACTAAGTGTATTACTGCGTCTTTGTCGTCTGTGCAATAGTCGTCCCTTCACAATAAAATGCAAAGCCTTAAAACCCTACACAGATTATATATGTATACATATATTTATATAGATATGTAAAGTGATAGAAAAAATTATTTAAAAAGTAACTTGATTTGAGGCCATCAGTTATGATTATACCATGGCATAAAGACTAAATGACCAGGCTGTCCTGAGGACAGTAGCAGTCTGTGACTACCAACCACAGTTATCAAGTAAAAGATGTGCAGTGGTTCCTACCACTCTGCTTCACGTCAAATAACACCTAATATGATAAATATAAAACATATTTATCACTACAACAGGATAAACCGGCCTCTTCTAGACTAGATGACATTTTCTTCCCTCCCTGACCGTCTGTGGCGACTTGAACAGCCGTAAAGCTCTGATTTAATTTAGGAGGGTCAAATGAAGTGTTCCCTTAGGAAACATTAGCTACGTCTGCCTTGTAGCACTGACATGTGAAGACGTCCCCTTTAGAGCCGGGGGTCTCGAACTCTAAGCCGAGGGCGACTGGTGCCAATGAGTCGGATCACCATGTTCAATGAATTATATATATAGATAGATAGATAGATAGATAGATAGATAGATAGATAGATAGATAGATAGATTAATCAATAAATATCAAATTACATTTAGTCACAGGCCAGATGTGGTGGGTTCACAAGGCTGAAGGTAGCCCCCGAGCCAGAGGTTTGACAACCCTACTTTAGAGGGCAATCACTTAGAGAGCACCATTAAATTGTACGTATATGTAGTAAGTGAGAAATAAAATAACAAATTGTGATTTAAATGGTAACAACCACAATGCAAGAGAGGGTTCTCATCCATCTGTACATCACTGAGTGACTATTACTGTGAACTATTAATGATCCATCGGCTACCTGTGTTTTACGTCAATTCCTACAGTGGAGTTCGTAGAGTGAAAGTGAAATAGTCACACAGAAAATATATACAATAGAGTCTGTTTCTGATGTTAATGTCAACGTGAACCTGCCGCTGTGTTTCACCTCATGTGTGCTGCTGTGTGAACCTCACACCTGTAGATCAGTGACTGGATAAATGCATAGATATTTTTGCTGTGATGGAAATGAAGTGTCCAGTGACATTATTGAGTTGCCAAAGATATAACACATATGTGAAGTCTGTGTGAATATATTAATGTTAAGATGTGAATGGACAATGGTCTGTGTGTGTGCGTGTGTGTGTGTGTGACGGGTGAGAGAACAAACATTTGATGGTTTCCGTGGCACACTCTCAGTCATCTTTTTGTTCCGTGTGTATTCAATATTAAAGCAATAGTCCAGTGTGTGTAATCTAACAGCCAGCTGTAGTCGCTGTAGCAGACACGGTCCAGTGGTGACTAGATGAGGCAACCCACTGTGCTCCTGTGTACAAAGTGCTTTCTATCTACCTTTAGACATAGGACAGTGGTGTGTCGTCATACTGTAGGTTCTATGTGCAATAAACATTATACGTGCAGTAGTCGTGCAGTACTTTCTAAGATGTGTGTAAGAGTATGTGGTTCAAACAAACTGTAGCTTCTTTACATACTCTGTCTACTCTGTGGTAGTGGGTTTCACTGCGACGTGCAATGCATGCTGATAAAGTCAAAACGTCCCTTTAAAGTTCCCTGTGTTTGTTTGTGGTGAGTCACGTGAAGCCAAATCAATACAAGTGGACCTCGTGGTGCAAGTGTGGGACACCTGTCCCTTGTCCTGTTGACAACTGGTGCAATATATATGTTTGCTGTTTAACTCTACTATTTTGAGAAAAAAAAGTGAGTTTTAGTCCCGATCAGAGCAGAGAAAAATGCATGTTTAGGCCTCTGAGTAAAGTGTATTTTTATATGTAGAGCAGAGTAATATATAATAACAGAGTATATATAGGGATACAAAAATAATGCCTTAAAATGAGGTGATGCCATCTGTTGACAGATGATATAAATGTTTATTCTGTAGTGTTTATCGTGCGATGTAACAGAATGTAATATTTGTCCCGTTCAGATTGGTGGATTTGTTTTGTCTGTAAAAGATGATTCCTTTAGAAAAGTCACATGAAAGGAAATATATATGCATATATGTGGGTGTGTGCGCATATATAAGTACATATATGTATCATGGATATATATAGATATATACGTGGGTTTTTTTTATTTTTATTTTACACTACCGTGGTGGAAAGTTTTTATTATTTCCCATCACATCTAGATAATGTAGAAAATGTGGATTTCTTTTTAATCACCATTCATTTACTAAAACAATACAGTAAATGACTTCCGGTCAGATGTGAAACTGATAATAAAAATCATATCAACTTATATGAAATGTCCTGTGTGTTATATTTGGGGTGTATTTTATTTTACCTTGAAGCTTTTATTGTGGTAATCATTAAATACAGCAGTGCTGTTTTGTTCTGGTTTGGTTGGTAAGTAGAGCCTTAATTAAAACATGACTGCTCTACTTAACCAACCAACAGTCAACATGCTGACGGCATCTGCTTTGTTTTAGTCAAAAGTAGAAAATTCTGTGCTTTACTGACACCCAGGTCACACACACTGTCACATCATAGGATCTAGTTTATTTAAAAAATAAATAAATCACACCAATGTTAAAGTGTGAAGTAACCAACAACATTTGTTTTGTAAGGCACTGTCTGTTTACAGCCACATCACTAACACTCTACTAACAGATGGCCTTGTTTCACTGGCAACTGATTAGGTCTTTGGGGAGAGACTCACATTTAATTCTTCATTGCTTAAAGCACCGAACCAGGTCTCTAAAAACATTTACTTCATTTACTTCAGCATCAATGAAGTGGTCTAATTAATTTGAAAATAAACTAGGCTGAAAATAAACCATAAGAATGCTGTAGATTAACAGCATTAAAATGTCTCATTTGTAACAAAAACAGCGCTGTCCACTTTTATTTAATCCAGTACTGGACCAATAGGGCTGAAAATACTGTATACAGTATCTATTTTAATTGGATAAAAATGTAAGCAGACTTGCTGAGCGACCAATTAGGTTTTCAAATTTATGTTCAATTCATTAGCCCTTTTTCATAGATTTTGCATCACCTCAAGTGTCTAATCCTGGCTCTGCAGCCACAGACTCTATTGACAGAACATTATGGTTGAGACCCAAGGCCAGGGCCAGGGCTGGAGGCGAGCTGCGCTCTCACTGTGTCCAGACCAACTATAGTGACAAGCTTTGGCATAGAGATCAATGGCGGAAAGCCACCTGGAGATGGATGACGGGGGAACATTACCAATAGTAAGTGTCTGCCACGCTGCACACAAAGGCAGCACCTCACCTGCTGGCTGCTATTGACTGGAGGGAGGAGCAGAGGAGCAGAGGAGCAGAGGGCAGCAGGGCAGTCCATCCATGACCGCCGAGTGACCTCTAGAGTCCAGGAGAGAAAACCCACAAAGACCAGGATGTTACCCTGTAAGTACAATGGCAGGATTAAAACCAAACTTTAACCTGGTTTACTACAGAATGTCAGACGATGGAGCAGGATGTTGCACAGATGGACGGTATTCAATACAATAAGGACGCTGAAAAAAATTAATATATTTTATAATGTATTAAAAAACAGTTAATGTTCCTGTCAGATCTCCTCCAACATGACATTCTATATTCACAGGGCCAAAACACACCTCTGGTTTCATCGATGGACCAAGGCACTGAAAGTGAAGACCTACTGGACGATCTCAGCTTACACTGTAGCTCCCAGTGGGTCAGAAGTTCAATTACACTAATGCTGCACCCCCTCGCACCCCACTCCCACTAACCTCCCATTAGCCCTGGAACCGATCAATAAAACTTTAAAATGTATAATAAATGAATAGCAGTGAGGATGTCACTGGCTGAAGCATGTTGGTATGAAGGAACATACTCATTCATGTAGTAGGTAGAAACCTCTCTAAGCCCCTCCCACCTGCCCAGGTGTAGCAAATAAGCCCTTAAAAGGGTTCAGTTCTGTAAGTCCTGTTTAGTATTAATATAGCCTTCATTTAATTTCTGCCAATAAAAGAAATATTCTTATTCTCACCCTGTTCTCTCTGTAGGTTCAATCCTGAGTCATTCATGTTATTATAATAAAATATTTGTATTTACTCCACTGCCTCTGCCCCCTCAGTCTTGACCCTGTGACCTTACATATTTACCTCATGTTGTGTTTTGCTGACAATAGTGCTGCAATATCGGATATATTACACAGACACAAAAACCACAAGCCTTTTCGCCATCTTTTTAATTCCTCTTTGGAATTCAACTGATTACTGCCCCCTACTGGGGCTATTTTCCAACAGTGAACTGGCAAAAACATGTCTAAGGAGAATCAAAAAACAAAAGCTGACATCTACACTGATGACTATGACATACCACAATTCCTCTAACTCATTAATAATGTTAATTTTACAATTCTCTGAATTAGTTTTGCAGTAATAGCTACTCTCTTCTATATGATCTTTATTCTTGTACCTGCAGTTTTCCTAAAACCATATGAAAAATCCCCTTAAAGGTTATTAAATATGCTCCAAACCCTTGAACCTGTCGGCCTTCACAAATCATGTGCAGTAACCACTAATCACCCTGTTGTCCTAATGAGCCTTTCTAATTGAACACGTGCACATGAATCAGACGTAACAGCTGAAAGATTACAGTCTGACTCCGTGTAACGGTCAATTAGTCAGACTGAGCCTGTCATCCAAACATGCCTCCCTACACCAGCTGATTCTGAAGCAACAAGCAATGATGCGGTAATCTTCCACCGTGTTACTGGTGCTGACAATTTTCGACCAAAATGAAACAGAGAATGGAAAAGTCCCCGTCTCCTGGCCTTTACTTCTGTCCTTCCTAAAATCTTTCAATTAAAGCCCAGACCATGTTCAAGGTGTCTGCCTTCACTCATGAAGGAATTCTGATAATGGCCGTTCTGGCATTTATACTGGAACAGTTCCCGGGGCAGAGGCTACATTTACACACCATCTTGGTGCCTAATTGGGCAAGAAATGAAGCCCCCATTAAACATTACACCACAATATAGTATATGACAGCAGCTAAAGGGAAGTGCCATGGAACCTGTCTCTTCACATTAGATGTAATGATTCTGCAACAACTGAGTGCTGTGATTGGTTGCGGTGATGGAGGTTAATTAAAAAGAAAATTATGTTTCCGTCAGATAAAAGCGGAAATGCATCGTCTTTAGGGACCGTAGTAAATTATCCGAGGCATAAAAACAAACTTGGAGAAAAAAAAAATATTGAAATGAATGCATTCACAATCGCACCTTGTTGCATATCACAGGAGCCGAAGAGACAGCTTCAAGCTTCTCACGTCAATGACTGTCAGCAGTTTCTGTTGTTGTTTTGATATGTTTTAATGAGGCCCCGGTGCAGGATGTGATGCCCATTTCTTTTCCTATTTACTCCCTCTTCAGCACAGATACTTTTTTTTTCATGGTTTATAAACAATAATCCATCCTGGCTGCATATCA